AAAAAGCAGAAAACATGTAGTTAATCCAGGATATTCTGAACTGCGGCCATGAATAAATGATGTCATCTGGAAATGAACACGTACACTTGAGGTCGACTCATGTTTAGCTGGTTGAGAATGTCTTTTTGGACACGGGGGGTGGCGGTGGCTGTTAGAGCCATCATCGGTATTTTGGGGAACTTCTGACGTAGTTCGTGCAACTTCTTGTAGTCTGGGCGAAAATCATGGCCCCACTTAAAATAAAAAAATAAAATGTAGGGACTTATTAAAAACAAAAATTATATATATATATATATAGTAGCACAGCCTTTAATTTTTTCCCTCTGAGTGTATTTATTTTTAAATCTAAAATTCAGCAACCCACCTGACTGACACAATGTGCCTCATCAATCACAAAGCGGGCTAAAAGGCTTCGCTCGTACAGGTTTTGCAGAGCTGAGATCAACCTGTTGCTTGCACTAACCTTGAAGAAAATACAATAAACATCAAATGTTAACGCATTAAGAAAAGACACTAGCTTAATGTTATAAAAAAAATATAAAAAATTAAATAAATCACCTTTTCTGGCGTTACATACAGCAGTTTAATGATCGGGTCTTTCCTGGAGAGCTGCATATAAATCTTTCCCGCTTCACTGTCACTTTTATCACCAGATAAACTTGTTGCTGGAATCTGAAAAATAGGAAAATAACGCACAAATTTAAATGGTTTGTGACAGCTTAAGTGTTCATCAAATGTATTATGTTTAAGAGAACTTAACATCATACAAATTCTTATTTGGACTTCCGTCCAATTAAAAATGAACCTAATGTTTTATTAGGGATCAAGAAGGAGAGTTTGTTTTTTTAGTTTTGTTTTTTATTAAAAGAGAATAACTCTCTTGTTTGGTTAATATTAAAAGCTTCCAAGGTTTCACACACTCATCAATGTCATTCCTTTACTCTAAAACAGTTCCCAGTAGCTAGCATACTTACATCTAACGTGGTGAGCTTCTGGATCTGGTCAACAATAAGAGATTTAAGCGGAGAAATGACAACAGTGACTCCAGGTGAGACACATGCAGGCAATTGGTAGCACAAACTTTTACCCCCACCTAAAAAATTTAATAAAATATATTTGAAAATACACATCAGTTTGATGAAAAAGATAAGTTTTTCTACATCTGTTGTCTTAAATGGCTTGTAAAGGGGTTGAAACATAAAAATCTTCTGGAACACGCTGCTGAAAAATGGAGTACATTGCAATGTAGAGCAAGTTTTGATGACGTGCAGATTTTTGCAAAAGGTTACAAATAGTTTTCTTTTAAAATACTAACTATAGTTGTAGCATTTGCCAATAGAGGATTGATATTATAACATTTTGACAGAACAATCAGCTGGTTTTACTTTCAATGTAACAGAAACCTTCTTAAACTAACCTGTTGGCATTAAAACAAATGTGTCTTCTCCTTGAAGAGTAGCATTGATTGCTTCCAGCTGATTAAACCTGAACTGATGGAGTCCAAATCGTTTATGGAAGATCTTCATCATCTCCTGTGAATAGGGGAAGTTAAAGCCTCTAAAGCGATCATGAGCTGGATTTTTAAAGTTGGGCTCTGAAACATGTGACAAAAAAAAAAGAAATAATCTGTGAAAATGCATTAAAATCAATATTATTAACCACGAAACAAGAAAATGTACCACACACGTTTCTAAAAATTTGCATTAATATTGGAAGAGGGCAATAAGTGAAACCGTGATCATTTTTGATTTAATAGAGGCTAAATAAAATGTTCCTGTTAATAGTGAAATGCATCCTAATTTAGTCTAATTTACTGCCATCTAGTGAGCAAATGTAAAACTGCATAGATCTAAACATTTTAGGAAATAAATGTGTTTGTTTTTTCCATGTTTTTAGAAGTAAATATTCCCATATTTTGGTTCTATGTCGACTTGCCTGGTGAATAAATCTTCTGAGGCTTTGAAGCAGCAACAGGAGTTACTGGTTTCTTGTTCCAAGACGACTTGTTTGCTCCCTCTTCTTTCACAGCAGCAGATGGAGTGCTTAGATTTTTAGTTACATTCTTAGTTTGAGGTTCATCAAAGTAATCAGGGATGTCAGAATCATTAAAGTCATCTATATCAAAATCGTCCATATAGAAGTCATCTTCCTCAAAGTCTGTCGTGGCTGCATGTGTTGGGGTTTTGGATTTTTCTTGCACATTATCTAACGTGGTTGGGAATGAAAGATTTGCATCATTAGCGTCAGAGCTTAATTTCTCTATATTAACTGGTGGTTTTGTGAAGCTGTTTGCTGATGGAGAGTCGCAAACACTGTCATCTTCAACATATATTGTCCTGCTATCTCTCCTTTGCCATGGTTTTAAACTGGAGTCGTCAAAGCAGTCCGAGTCATGGTCAATAGAGATGACTGAAGATCTTTGAGGCTGTTTGGACTTTTTAGTGTCTAAAGGCAGGGAACTGCTAGGGGACATTGCAGTGGAAGAACCACAGATGGAAAAGCTTTCTTTGAAAGAATCAGAAATCCCTGTACTGTCTGGCTGCTGCGTCCTCCTGCTCAAAGAATCAGTCCCACAAGCTAAAATCCTCTTCCTGCAAGAGAAAGTCAGTGATTGTGATGATGTTTGTATAGCATCAAATGAGACAATAGCGCTTCTGCTGCTGAGTGACATGAACCTACCTTTGGGCCCTCTTTAGCAAAAGTTCATCCCCACAGGACAAAGCGATTAGTTCATGCTCAGGGATGGAATCAACCAGAGCACAGATGGACTCCATAATACTAAAGAGTTGTTCCTCTGCAACAATTACAAACAGCGAGAATTATACATACCAGAAGAAAATTCTAAAGTAAAATAGTTGGAGGAAAAACTGATAAAAAAGATATGTACTTGTTTTGTCACCAGCAAGTTGTTGCGGTTTAGGTGGAGCTGTGGGAGGGCTGATGGGTTGGGAAGCATCATCTCTGCTCTGAACATTGCCAGATTGATTTCTTTCATAAAGAAGAGGAAAACATTCAATTAGACTAGATAAAAGCAAATTTAAGATGAATCTAAAGTCATTCTCAATAGAACACACTTTCTCCAACATTCTTCATAAGAAAATATTAAAGGCTTTTTAGAAAAAGCCGTTTTCCACTTGAAAGTGTGTTGAGTGTTTATGCAGAATTTACAAGATTTTACACATAGGGCTGGATATTCAAAGGATCAAAATTGCTTATGCAAAATGCATATTGTGCAAAAAATAAGTGGATGTGATGGGGTGAGATACAAAAACTGCACATGCAGCTGATAGGATGTGCAAACCAACCCATTCTGCCCAATTTGAGTGAATAAATTACATTTGAAACAGTCAGGTTGGGGAAATGAAGATGGAGGTAATGATGACACTATTAAAATAATGGAAAAAATGTATATTATGCTGCAACCACAGCATAAAAAAAAAAAAAAAAGGTTTAAGATAAATCATAAAACCTGCCGGACCCATTTTTGCAGACAGTGCAAATGTTTACACACACAGACAAGTACTCAATTGTGATTGTACTAAGGCTCATTTTGTAGCCTCAAAGGTTTATAACGACTTCAAAACATGCTATAAATTTCTTGCATTTCTTGTTGTAAAGTTGTTATAAACCATTGTTGGCTTAAAATATTTTCTTTGCATGTTTTCAACCCATAGATTTTTGTACAGTTTGGTCATTACAGCCGCTGATTTTGAACACCTATGGAGTCAACTTTGTTTTTTTGACTCCATGTGTTTTAATACACAACAGAGATAAGAAGTAACATCTTGCTTTAAAAAAATCCAAAAGATGATAAGTGAATGAGTGGTCCAGTTTGAAATTTTTTCAAATATATCCTATTGATCATCAAACAAACCCCGTTTCCTATACTTATGAACAGACAGGTGCAAGAAAACGGAGACAAGAATGGAAAAACAAATAATTTTCTATAATTTTTTCCAAGCTTGAAAAAGATTTTAAATCAAACTTGATGGTAGGGAAGGGTTTTGGAAGACACAAAGGTTGGCACTAATGCGTGATATTTGCTTACCTTGTTCCAAAATTTGTATAAGAAGTCTGAGAAGGAGGTGAAGGGGGAATGTAATCAAGATCTTCCTCAGGTTTGAAGGTGTGATCCAGGTCCGGTTTTTTTGGATCAATCCATTTTTCCTTTTCATCTAAGAGGATCCAAATATTTCATTATTACCCTGATTGTTTTAGGACACTTATTAGATCTGTATCTACTTTAAATAATCAAATTGAACAAAGCAAACAAGCCTTTACCTGTTTTTTCTTTCAAAGCTTTAGAGACGTGACAGATTTCCTCATCACTATCACTCAACACTGAAGTCACAAGTGGAGGAAGACAACGCCTTCTAGTCCTTTTTACAGGAGACTCCTCCACTTCATAGTCTGAAAGTTCATGACCTAAACTAGGTTCTACTGAAATGGTTGATTTATTGACACGAGATTCTTGCTCTTCTGTCTCCTTAGAAGACTGGTCATTGTTCTTCTTGCTCAATTCTGGTTTTAAGCTACCAGCATCATGGCTTTGTTTTCCTGTGAACTCTGGGAACTCTTCATCTGAAGATAAAGTTATTTTTGTTTCAACAGCTGATTTCTCTGAGCAGAATGAGTCGCTTTTGGCTTTGGCGGGTGTTTCAAAGTCATCAAAATCATCCCAGTCATCAATCTTCAAACTAGATACATCCAGTCTAGTTGAGCTGATTCCTTTACCATCACAGAGGGAGTTGTCAGGTTTAACAGGAGCTACAGGCATCTTAATGCTAGCATCTGCTAAGGGTGTTTCACTTTTTGTAATGGAGCAACCTGCTGGGCTGATGACATCTGACTTGCATTTTGAACTTGAAGAGAAGAAGCTGTCGATTTTGTTTTTTTGATTTCCTTCAAGCTTGTTTGAAAATTTTAAAGAAGATTTAGTCACCAAATTGTTCTTAGGGACATTCACGTTCCTGTTTGCCAAAGCATTTAGACTGTTTACCTTGGTCGGGAATTCCACTTTAGTTGTACCTGATGAAGATTTCTTTTTGAACGAGAAAGCCCTGAAAAATACAAACAACATTCAGTAAAAAAGCTGTTCTTATGATACAATTGCTACTCAAGGAAAAACGCTTTCAAAACAACAATGTCTTTAAAGATTATTAGCTTATTTTTTCTTTTTCCCCTCAGTCTATTTTTTCCCACTCCAACAACGCTGATAGTAATTGACAATTACTATCAGCAACTCTGCAGCAACCAATGTTTTTTTTTTTTTTTATTACTCCAGTCACTTAATGATTACACAACTAGCTATGATGTCTCCTAAAAAAATGTTATGCAATGTGGGCTTCAGTTCTGAGACTATGATGAGAGTGTAAACATACCTAAAGTTGTGGCTGCGGGATATAACAAACAGATATGCAATGACAACATTATTTAAAAGCATACCATAAATATTGTAATACCGGTACTATGAGTAAATGCAAATGTTTCCCACTCTAGTAATTCTCATGCCATGTGTGCTTTTGGTAAAAGAGGCAAACTCATCTGTGTAAAATATTGGCATCTAACGTAGAGATTAACCGGTAGAGGTTTGTTTAGACCGTCAGTCTAATTGATTCTTGGAGTTGGTATTGCCATTTCCTCCTCCGCTTACATGATAAAAAAAATGACACATGATTTAAACAAAACTGAAACATTTATGAACACAAAAATGATGGATGGCAAATGCCTCACATGATCTTAAGGCATGGCTCCTGATGAACCGGCCAGCTCATACTTTTTTGCTTTTTTTTTTTTCCCCAAGGCTGCACTTTTAAAAGATGAAATTGTCCAATGAGCTGTTTCCAAACGAAATTTCTTTTTGTTTTACGCTTGTGTAAACAAAATAACAAATAAAATCTGTCTATTGTCTATCTATCTATTGTCTATACATGTATCGGCCAATTCCAATACAAGAACAAGCCAATATCAGCCAAAAATATCAGCTGACTGATCGGTCTCTAATCTAATTCAGTGAAAGCCAATAAAAAAGCAAAAATATCTGTTGCATTTCAAATCATCCTTTGTGAAGTTGGTGACTTAACCATTAAGAAAATAAAACAAGAACATCATTTAAGGGATAGGTACAGAACATTTATCAACAGATAAACTCTAAGCCATAAATTTTGTTAGATTTACAAGTATATATTTTATTTATGATGCTAAGTAACTGCCATGCAGTTTATACAAGCTTTCCTGTTTCAGCAAACCATGACACACTACCAGGTCTTTGCCAAACTTGATGGCATGCCGAGGAGGCAATAAATCATTTAATTAAGCTGTGTTGGATCAGGCATGCATCTAAAAGCTGTGGTGCATTAGATCTAGAAGACTGGAGTTTGAGACACCAGGTTTACATTAAAAGAAATACATATGTCCTAGAATAGTCTTACAATATCATATATTGTAAAATAAAATAGTACAGGTAAGCAAATCACCACATTACAACAGGGTCAATTTTCCTTTATTAACTGTTAATAATTCAAACATTACATTAAGGATTTGCATGTTTTGTGTGATTAAAATGATGATTTTAAACTCAAAGAGGCTAGATAATGTGAATTGACTGCATTCATATAATTGGTCGGTGCTTATAGCTTCATCGGTAGAAGCAAAAAAAACACTAAAATTTGGTAACTTTTCTGTTAAAATTATTTTCAAAACTATAACTACTTAAAAATATCTGGGGCCAATGTGTAAGACGGATAAGAAACTGTTAAAATAAAAAAAAATAAAGCTAAGTATTATGATACTAGCTAGCTCTAATGAGAGCCTAAAACTTTTGCCGTTATTCGCTATCTGCTGTAAAATAACAACACTTACCCTGTTTTGGGTTTAGCCAGGGAGAGTTTGCTGTGAGCAGCATTGCTGTGTCTTGCCAGTTGTTCCTTTAGATTATTTTGAGGCAGACTAGACATTATGAGTGAGAAACTGAGCTAGGTATTGCTAGCTAAAGGGCTACAGGAATTAGCTCATGAAACAGTTCCCTAAACATGGCTCGAGACACCGGACTGGAGCACGTGCTGTTGGTCTACGCAACCGCGGTCGCTTCGACAATTTTAACGTTCATTAGGCTGACTTTTAAGATTCCAATATAGGACAAGGAAGAAAACAAACACTGGATTTTGCGCCCAATCACTAAAACGAAACCCTATTGGCTCGCGGATAGCGCGAAAGAGCATTCTGGGAGAAGTAGTCTTTGTATATGCAAAGAGGTGGCCAGTTTTAACCCAGTACCAGTGATGCCTGAACTAAAATTATATTGAATTTAGGTAAACATTTACTTACAGTGTGTCACAAAAGTGAAACTAAAACGTTTAAAGTTTCTTAATGTAGAATTGGAGGCATATCTTTTTTTTTTTATTATTATTATTCAGGCTCCTCTTGTGTTGAACAAACTCCCAGTTTTAATTTGTGAGGCAGACACTCTGTTTTTAAGATTAGGCTTAAAACTTTACCTTTTGATAAAGCTTATAGTTAGAGTGTCTCCAGTTATCCTGAGCTATCTCTAGCCCATATTTATGCTGCTATAGGCTTAGGCTACAGGAGGACATGGGGACCACTTTTCATAACTCTGCTTCATTCAACATATTCTCCAGTTTTGCATTATTTGTTTGCTCAATTTCCAACCTTATGTTCTCTCTGCTTTTCCTCTTCATAGTAGGTACACCTGGTCTGGGGCTTTGTTTAGCTGTAAAACCATCAAGCCAACAACTTCCATCATAGAAGATAGAGTTTGTCCCGTTTCTCAGTGTTGAGCCCAGTTTCTCTCCTAGACAAAGCTACAGGATCTGCTTTAACTGAGACCAACTGCTATCTTCCATCCATTTTCTAATAAAAACCATCCCGGAGCTCATCTGCTGAAACAGTTTCTGCCCTATAGACTGAGCCACCTATGGAGCTAGTTGACCGTGATGTTTTCTAACTTAGAAAGTATTTATGGATCTGTGCTTCTGTGTTCCTCTTGTACAGTATGCTTTTGTCTCATTGAACCAACAGGCGGCTTTTGCAACAGGTTGCATACACCAAGCCTGGTTATGCTGGAGTTTTTTCTCCCTACTGCCGTTGCAAAAACAGCACCATATAAAATATGCATAGACAAAATAAACACAATTATAGCAGCCCTTGATAAAATGAGTCTATGGTTATAAGATAACAAAGCTGTGACTATTAATTGCTATCCTTGTGTGAGTCACATTTGACATGTAGGACATTTTCTTGTTTTTTTATTTCTTCATCTTTACATTTTCAGTAGTTCAAGAAAAAATGGCAAAAAATATTTAGTTCCAATTGGTTTTTCTCTGTCTGCAATTATGGAGAGGTTCCAAGTTTGTCTGTTATTTGCCATTTAGCCTATCTAAATTCACATGGTGATTGGCCTTGAAGAGATGTTTGTCCCTTTTGCAGCCTAGAAGCTTGGGAGATGTTTGGTTATCTGCAAAAACATGTAAATTGGTTTGAAACTACCTAGAAGGCTCAATACTGAAATGTGTGCTTTTAGAAAGCTAAAATCTTATTAGAATTATCCTTCCAATTGGTGTCAATTTCTCCTTATCCTTCTCTGTCAAACTATATATTTTCTCTGTCTAAAATTATGAACGTTCTTTTTTCCAAAACATTGTCCTGTTTTCTTAAGGTTTGGGTGAAAAGCTGGGTCTTGTCCTTAGGAGCTGACTCTCCTTTTTTTGTGAAGAGGATGTTTAGTTTCTCCAATACAGAAGTATATGATGACCTTGCTAGACTTAACTACGTACACCATGCTGCTTGGTGTTTGGGAGCTGAATATCTTCTGCATTGGACAAAGCCCTTCAACACATCACTGAAACAGGTTTAAGTAAACATTGTAGGGTACCAGAATGTTTTCAAAGCAGCTAAGCAGATTCCGGGCCTCCCATGGGGAGCATGCCAAATGTTTCCTGCCATGCAAATGGTTGGTGAACAACAATCACCACAGCTGCTGGATAGATCTTTTTTTTTTTGTCCCCATGCATTATGCTTTGAAAATCCGGGAGCAGTGGCGTGCACTGACAGTTTTGGGGGAAAGGTGCTCAGGTTGGCAAAGGGTACTTTATATGTCTTATAGAGCCGCAAACAGCCAAACATTGTCTGATACTGATGTTTAAACAATCTTCAGCAGTCCATAGGTAGCAATGCAACATTGGTGTCAATTAAATAAATAACAATTTCAAATCCACTAATATATAAGCAAACCTGAAAAACAATAGACTAGATCATTTTTTTTCTTTTCTTTTTTAAATATCTTTCATATATGTGGAAAAAAAGAACACAATTGAAGGTAAAAATGCAGTTGCTTCTAGTTTACATATAACTGCTATCATAAGTGTTGTGTGATAATCCGATTATTTAAACAAGCTTTCTTCTTCTGGAGACGTAGGGAAATTTTGATGTCTCCATCCGATGGATTGAGTTTATATGATTAACTAAGAGCCTTGGGTCAAGAGGCTATAGTTGTAATTGCCTTATTGAGTTGCATTTTACAGCATTCCTTGGTGCCTGGTAGAGGCCATTAAACACATTTTGCTATAAACTAACATGGTTGGTAAAGGAGGTAAATACGCTTGTTTAGTTACCTGGATGGTTAGCTGGTCCTTCACCAGGGCAAGTCTCTATCGAGGTGTTGCTACATGTAAAGTAAAAAAAAAATTAAACCCCTATATTGTCCCACATTGGGAAAATTCACTCCCTGCATTTTAACCCATCCCCTTGAGGAGCAGTGGGCTGCCATTGTGTGGCACCTGGGGAGCGGTGTGGGGTTGGGTTTTGCTCAGGAACCCAGAATGGAGGCTGTGGGGATCAAACCTCACACTTGCAACCTTCTTAGAGAAAAAGCGCACTGCTCCAACCACTAGGTCAATACTCCCACAGGTCCTCTACAGCGAAATTATTAAATCTAGACTCTTGATTTGATAGGATTTTACATTTGTAAAATACTATTTTGGGCCAAAAACTATATAAAAAAACGTAAATAATAAATTTGGCATTTTCTTCCAGAGGGGAAAAGGGCAGTTGCTCTAGCACCACCTAGTGTCTTTCTTTGCATATCCCTGATTGGAAGGATGGCTTTTTAAAATTTTTATTTTATCCAATTTTGCCATTCATCAACTACTGTATAAAACATGTAGGCTATGCAATATATGACCATGACACACTAAAAAAAAATTAAGCTACGCTTCATGAAGAGGGTGTCCTTGTGCAACCAAACACTGACCTTCAATTCTCAATGACAAGTCTGGTGGTGTAACTCAAATCAATAAAGGTACAGTATTTAAATTCAACATTATGTCTTAGATGGCTGAGAATCTTTCCCAGCTTATTATGATGACGATTCATACTATGCCAAACTGTATGGTCCCTAAAACAATTCTGTTATTTTCTTATTGTGTATCAGTGACACGATTATTTTTACATGATTCCAGGTTGGTTTGAACACTAATAAATAAAAGTATTTCAAAAACATTTTGTAGATACAGATTATGTTTGTCTGATGTCAAAATTTGTATAATGATCTAAAACAACAATACATTAAGTTATAAAATACTCATAGCAGACAGCTTTATTTTTACTTTTTCTGATGGATCTCTACATACTGATAAAAGATAGGTTATCTTTTCAAGCAATGTCTCAAAACCAGTAGAATCTTGACTTAATCAACTTACGGTATATCTGATTTCCTTTTTTTTTTAATAACATTTCTTTACTCAGTTCACCAAGGGTCTGGAGTGAAGTCCAAGCGCCCTAATACTCTGAACACATTTTTTCTGATAGACATAGTGATTCATTCCAGCAGATAGAATGGTAATTCATAAACTAACTTAACAACTGTTCTTATTTTTGGTCGCTGGTCTTACAGAGACAGTGGTCCATACATAAATACTGAACAGCGGTGGCTCCTCACATGTGACAATACTAAACCCGTTCAGCTGCCGCCATCATATCTGGGTAGGCTACAGACGTCTGCAATAAACCAATGCAAGAAATACAAGCAAATTTAAAAAAATTTTATTTTGGAGTTTTATCTCAAAGATTTAACAGTAAATTGATCATCTCAGTTATCATTTGTAAACAAATCTGAATTAAATTCAGTTTACCATATAAAAGTGTTTTATCAGTAGTTAAAACTCCTCAAACAATAAACTAGAATCCAGTTTATCGTAGTTACAAGATAAAAATTCAGAATTATAAAAATGCACTATATATGATTAAGAAAAATCAATTATGCCTCACTTAGATTATTCTTAGTATTTTTTGAGACATATCATTGAAGAAAAATTAAACCACTGGAAAGGATGAGCAGGCAGCGAGTCCACACATGTTCTTTCCCCTCTCAATAAGGAAATACCTGTGATGCAAAAACATTTTGATGAGCCGTTTTATGTTTCCTAGCATGTAGATTTATTTGGGCTGTGTAAAAGTAAATAACGTTTACCCGTTTATGCCCCAGGTAGGGCCCCATGAGTTCTTTACTATCCAATAGGGTGTACCGTTCTCTTGTCCATAGCCAACAGCTAGCACGGCATGATTCACTTTGTCTGTGGTGTTGTGGCATTTAGTGCTGAAAGCAGGAAGAGACCAAAAGTGACATGTGACTTTAACCTGGGCTGTTTTTTTTTTTAAATAGCAAATGAGGAACTAAAACTAAAACTAAAACAAACCTCTTTGCATAAAAACCCCCATGTTTCAGTATTTAAACATTACAGGAGCACTAAGCAATAACAATAGTTTAAAATCAAATAGAAAATTATATGAAATGTAGATTCAAACAGTAGAAAATGGGATTTTGTTTTTAAATTATTTGTGATATAAAACAAGACATCTTCCTCCACCCTTATACACATCACAGCCAAATATTTACCCTACACAATGATTCTAATATAAATTTTAGCCATTTAATGTGCAGATTTGCTCTCACCTGGTGTACACACCCTCATGGTAATGCATGAAGTCATTAGTGACCTCAAAGGCAAAACTAACAGGATTGTGAGTGGCGACAGCATCAACCATTCCCATCTCGTCGTACTGAGAAACAGCAGCACAGCTTTATTCTTCACGCACTTTCATCCACTCTTCTATGTCCATGAATGATGACGATCACTCACCGCTGTTATGTTCCTCACTTCCTTCACAAAAGCAGCAGCCAGGGTGGGTTTATATGAACATATACCCTCCTGATAACACAAAAGAAATAGTTACCATAAGCCATTATGAGCATCTTTATTGGTTAGTTTTTAAACTGGCTGAAAAAATTACCACAGAAGTGTATGGATAGTCCTCCTCTGTCATCAGTCCCTTGTTATACATGATATACTCAAATGCTTGACTGGGAAGACCCCTAAATGAAAGATAAAGGCCTGGATTAGAAACAGATGAATGATACAGTGTTAACAGTAAAAGTGGATGGACACATTTTCAGCACGCACCCATTACAGCCATGGTTATTAAAATCCTGGGCGCAGTCTACCAGCTGCTGTTCTGACTGAATAAAAAAAAAGACTATTTAAATTCACTACAGTTATTGTATGTAGTAGAATAAAAGTTTTTTCGACAAAGTAAAAGCTTGTCACCAGAGGCACGAGCTTCCCAGTGGCGATAGCAGTGACGGCTTCCAAACAGCCAGTTGTGGAAAAAGTCCAGCAGCTACCACAAGCTCCCTGAAATACAATAATAAAAAAATAATAATAAAAAAAAAACAGTTGCTGTCATTGTTAGAATTATCTTAACATGAATAAGAATGTATTTCAGTTTAGTCTAAATGTAAAGAAATTAAGCACATTTTTTGAAACATTTCTGTCACCTCTATGGGTGTTCGCTGATTTGCTGCAATTTTAGCGTTTTAGATTGAATTGTGGGAAATTAAGAGTTCTACTGCATCAGATAAGGTACATCACTGACATCACTGTCTTGTTTCATTCTTTCTCATGCTTAATAATTACCTCACTATCCTAGGCTAGAGGCTGAAAGCTCTCTGAATTTACTGAAAACATTTGCTCAATTAACCCTAACGTAGGTGGGGCTGTTATTAGTTGGGACGGCAACAAGCATTTAGAATCATAAGAGAAGATGCAATAATTTTCAGCAATATAGAATACTAAGACATAGCATCTGATAGCAACAATCAGGCTCCAAGCTCAGCTCTAGATCATATTGGGAATGCTCAAGTTGAAGCGGGACTGCCCGAGTCCAGCCCTTCAGAGCTACCATCCTTCATCTACAAACTGGAATCCAATAAGCGGCTCGTTGTCAGGTCTTTGATGAGCTCAATGACATACTGAGTGAATTTAGCCATTAGATTAAGGTTGAGTTGGAGAAGTGATACATCGAGAGCAGGGGGAACCAATAAAAAATCAGCGGGGTCCAAATAAAGAAAATCAACAACCAGTGAAGGTCATACATTACTTTTTAAAATAAAAAATAGAAAATTAAATAGAAACATTTTCCATTTTAAAATCTAAAGAGAACAGCAATTGTTCAGTTTGGTATAGAGACAAATTCCTGATTCACATATTTTATATAAGACAACTGAACGTTTTTTGGCTTAATGAGAGAAGTGGGCTTTAGGCTGCCCTGCAAGGCTTTTAAACCTGGGTTTGAATGGCGACAAAGCCATTCTCAAGCACATATCAATGTTCTCATTTGTGAGCCATATCAACAGGCGAAGCGGTGCAAGTGAAGTTAGAAACTGTCGTTGGACAACAGTAATATAGATGTTATGTTATGTTTTAAATCAGTTTGGGTCCTGATTAGCCAGCAGGTGGGTCCGGATCCGGACCCCGGTCCGCTAATCCGTGACCTCTGATCTAGAGCTTACCGGATGGCCCTCAATGACTGGACCAGGGTACCTCTGTTTTACAGGATCTTATCTTTCAACACCATTTAAACGTTGGAACGTAAGCGCAGGAGTATAATAAAGGTATAATAAATACATTTCAAGTATAAATTGTCAAAATAACAAGTAAGGTTGTAAATAAAGAAATATGCACAAAACAAAAAATAATGAATGGCTTGTAGATTGAAATTGTTATAATGTGCTTTTATGTCTGTAGTAAACAAAAGTTAGAACTTTAAATAAAAGAAAAAGAAAGAAAAGGAACCTGTGAGTTTAAATACACTGCAAAATAATATTTGACACTAATAATCCAAAAAACGGGAACAATAAAAAACTTTTTGGCAGAAATATGGGGTCGGTATGTTGTTTTTCTCAGTAAAAGTAGAAAGAAAAACGTTGTGCCTGATCAGTAGACACAAATGTTTCAATTCAAATTCACCTGATTCTTAACTGGTGTAATATAATTCCCCTTCTTTCTCCAGTCAATAGAGTCTGGATATGGTCCATTACTGCTGAAGTGGTTTCCCTTGGTGGCAGAGCAGTTCTGCAATTCACAAGAAAAGTTAAAGAACACAGAAAAAAGCCACAACAACAGCTCTTTGGAAGCAAAAGTCTGGACATATTACCTGTGGTTCAGACAAGAGGAAAGACTTTCGAAACTCATTAAAAGTCATGTCTGAAAACTGGTTTAGTGCCACTTCATGGAGAAAGAAAAAAAAAAAAAACAAGACATAAGATAACGTAGAGAGAATGTTTGGTGAAAATAAACAGAATAAATTCCTACTTGTGAAAGAATGATTTCCTTCATTGTGCTTTTCGATCCTCCTTTTGTTTTCTGTGAATATCTGGAGCCTTTTGTAGTACTCCTTGAAGTTGTATGCTTTGTTGTACTGCATGAAGAGGTTTTATCTTTATCAGTGTTGCAGTGATTTTTCCCCCCTTAGATTACTTCCGCATACGGTTACATCACATTTTAAGTAGTAAGAACTAATGTAAACAAACCCACCTGTGCGATCCATGATTTAAAATGTAATTCGTCTAAAAAAAAAAGAAAGAAAGAAAAATGGTTTAAAAGCAGATGGTGCTGAAAATAAAATACTAAAATAAGCACGACACTTTGTTGAAATGATGAAAGTGAAACTTAGGCAGAAGCGAACAAAACAAAGTGTTAGTGACTGTGCGCTTACCTGTTTTAGTCAGGTAGAAGGCTGACGTTAAAGACGCGGAGCAAAGCAGGAGCCAGACGCCCTTCATGGTCACTAATCAGCGCTGCAGCCGGAGGTGAAGGTGGAGAGAAAACAGATGAGGTGGTCACGAGGTGAAATGCTACCGGACTAGGAAACTGGGACGTCAGCTTTGTTTCGGAAATAGGCACCAATAAAAACACAGCTCCTCATTTAACACTTAGTAACCATGGAAGAGAGGAGAGGGCGAAACCATGCTGGCTATAGCCAG